TAAATTCAGTTTATTTAATAAAGCAAAATAAATATATACAATTACTAATATTAAAATTAAAACAAAACAATTTATTAGAATTAGAGAATTTAAGAATTATTTAAACAATAAACTGAGAGTAAAAATGTTAGAACTTACCTGATTGCAGAATAAATTAAACTGTTTCAAAATGGGTAAAATGACGACTAGTGTTACCTTTTTTGGTGCAAATGGCGAAAACAATTGTGATGCAAAATTTAAAAAATTGGAAAGCATTAAAGTAATGGCAAAAAAAGGAAAAAAAAGGGCAAATGTTAGAAAAGAAATGATTTGTAAATATGTGTTTACTATACAATATTCCTTGATTATATTTTTATTAACTGAGGCAGCCTACGCATGATAAGCCCATTGTGCGACAATTTTATTCTCATCTAACATTTGCTCTTTCTTTCCTTTTCTTTCTTCCATTACTTTAATGCTGTCAAGTTTTAATTTAAAAATAATCTTAATTTAAATTCCCCATTGGGAAGATTTAATATATATATATTATTTATTGCTAAATATTCTTAACACACAAAATATTATATTTACTTAATTTGTGTACGATAATACTTGTATTCAGATCATTTACTATTTGATAGAACAAATTTATAATATCTAGCTCATATGTGATAAGATGCTGCACACGCAGCTCTCATCAAGTTCTTTAAAATTGCTTGCTAATTTATACGTAAGGTTTCAGTATTCTATGCTAGAAAAAAGGTTTTAGATAAGTAGTTTAAAAATTCTTTGCATTAAAATGTATCTTTCAAATAGCGATAATGAGCACATACCTTCTTCTATAAAAATATCTTCTGCGCTCCGTCATTAATTTGATTTATCTTATTGGGAAAACAAACTACTTGATTTTGAACTTTCGTCTTTTCAGACTTATCCCAGAATTCTTCATGATATTTTGAACAGAATATCCCGATGTTTATTCTAAGAATAAAAATTTTCTTTCGTGTGTTCTCTCGGGACATATTAAAGGGCATAGTTATTTTTCGTCTACTTGGTGTAGTATTTCCAGCAGACGTGGCGCTTTCTTCGCGTGAGCTTTTATCGTTGAAAGCTCTTGAGAAAATTTTGATTGTAAGCTACCAGAAGTTGGTGATTACTTTCCGAACAAGTGATGCTAACTTTGACAGTTTTGTCACCGATATATTTTTCTTTAGATAGTACTTAAACATTTTAGAAGGTTGAGAAGTCACGCATCTCTCATCTTAATACATCGCTATAAATTCTTTGCATGGTTTGAGATTGGAAGATATTTTATTTTTTTTAAATACACGTGAAGTTCTCCTTCTCACGCTTTTTCTTTTTAACACTTTGCTTTTCGACGCACGGTATGTAAATTATGCATTTGACATTTTCATATAGAAATGTCTATATAGTAAAGTTTATAATTTTGAAATTTAGTAAGTTAGGTATTTAAAAGGAAGTGCTGAAAGTTATATTTCTTATATTATATCAACGATTCCATAGATTTCATAAAGAGAAAGGAATTCTGTAAATTTCGATATGTGTAACTGGCAAGACAGAAAAGACAGACAAGCAAAAAATCCGTTATTAAACAATGTTGAGATCAGAGATTTGATTAGTGTATTTGATTAGCTTATCTTGCTAGTCCATGAATATAATCAGAAAAGCAAATGAATTTCCTTCTTTGGTGTTCATTTTTGCAGAAGTATCTGTTTGTAGAAACCCTGCACAACAAGGTTTTACTCCAAAGTGCGTTGCCCAGAGTATGAACTGTATGAAAACCTCCCTTTAAATACACTCGAGTTCACCTGCATTCTCGAGTAAAACCGGAAACAGAGAAGTGGCAGTACTGATTAAAATCATAAAATAAATGGTTATTCAAATTAAAGAAACCTTACAAACGTATTTATATAAAATCATTCAGAAACATGATCCTATTGAAAATCATTCGGCCGATCCTTGAAAAAGACCGAAGAATTTTCAACAAATTTTTGTATAAATTTTATTGTGTTATATTAATTCGATTTGCATATAATGTTATATTCACAGATTTTATACATATAATTATGTTACTTTCTTGAATTGCTTTTTTCAATTTTAATGTGTATTACCTATTTGACTGCTAACCCCTTTCTTAATTTAATTTTTGATTTATTTATAATCTCTTGCTTATTTAATTGATTCCGTAGCATAATGCACGACTTAATTTGAGACATAATATTTAATAATATCTTAATAAACAGAGGAGACACTGAGTTTTTAATATGAATTTTATTACAAAGAATTAAAAAGTAGAGAACAAATACAACTTGTGTAAAATTGTACATGTATTTTGAGACTAGGTGATTGAATAAACAAATATTAAATGTAATTAAATAGGGTTATAAAGATTAAGCAAAGATGTATAGATTAAAATATAACATTGCGAAACAATGAGCAGTAATGTTAACAAATCAACTCATGAAGTAATCAAAAGCTTTACTGTACATACTGTAATGTTTCGGGTTAACATATTAATAAGCCTACAATACACATGCACAGTACAAACTAAAATGCAAACTAAATGTAAATTTGGTACAGAAAACTCATAATTTCTTTAAAGAAAACGTAATAATAAATTGCGACAAGATTAATGCTAAACAATGAACATTCACTGTTATCCGCAGAGAGGGGGAAATTCGTCGATGCTTTCACGTTGTGGGAAGAAGAAAACACTTTTTACCCTCATCCAGCTGATTGCGTTCACCGCACATCTTTTTCTAATATGAGATTATGCCAAAATTTCCGTCTTAATGCTAATCGTTTCTTCAGTTTTATACGTTAATATCATGCAAAAAACCCAGTGGCAAAGTGCACCTTTCTCAGTTACTAAACCGAAAGATTAGCCTTACTACTTGCTTTTCTGTTGAAAATTGTGGAATAAAGAAATTTGTTTGTGTATTAAATATCATTACCAGTCCATCAGCATATCATAATATATAGATTTTCTACTAATGGACGAACATCCTTTGATCGGCAAGGCCGTATATACACGGTCAAGAATATTTTTTGTGATGTCTTTAATTCTTAAACGTATAAAAAGTATACGTATAAAAATATATGCGCATATTGAAATATGTTCAAGAAACTAAAGCAATATATTAAGAGCACATAAATCCAGGTGTAAAGTATGAGGAATATTTTGGCATAAAAGATGAAGAAAATGCTTCTTCTCGTCGCAGATTTTGGAAATTTGGGTTTTCTCACCCAATCTCCATGCTGAGCAGAGAGCTAAATAAATAATGTTAATATTTTACTTCTGTAAAGCATAAAACATATATAAATATGAATTTCAAAGTGTGAAACCTCTGCAGAGTTAAAAAAAAGTTCAGTTTGTATTCTTTTATCGGCAATTTTTATTAATTGCAATTAAATCTTATCTGCTGTAATCAGAAAATTATTGTTCTCATACCTTTATTTATGTTATGGCTTTATATTATTGGCAACAGTACGAAGTGATATTCTGGATGTGAGCGTAATCTATTCTATTTAAATCTGTACTCATCTGTTTAATCTAATTAAAATCTGTTTAATTGTTTGTAACATCATCTCTTCCGGATTGTTGAGTTTCGAGAGCGGTACTCCCAGATTTCGAAAAATCGTGGTAAGCCATTTCGACCATTCTCATCTTCGTACGATCTTGATCAGCCGAGATATCAATTAAAAGCTCTGAGAAAACCAACAAAAAAATCATTTACAATTTGTTTGTTGTGGGTTGTGCCAGATATAAGAAATTCTGTGAGCGCTAATTTGGCAACAGAATATTATTTAAGATTAGGTTGCTGTGGGTTGCGCGAGATATTAATTTTTTATTGTTGCAAATTGTTATGAGATAATTAAAAACTCTGAAAACGCTAATTTGGCAGCAAAAAATTCTTTTACTAATTGTTTGTTTGCTTAGAAACGCGCTCATCTGGCAGGCTTGCCTGCTAGTATTACTATTACTGCTAATATGTGTGTGCTTCTATCTGTTTGTTTGTAACATCATCTCCTCCGGAACGTCAGGGAGCTACGTTTCGAAAGAGGTAACCCTGGATTTCAAAATATTCGTCGGAGGCCATTTCGACCATTCTCATATTCATACGACTTTAATCAGCCGAAATAATAAATAAAAACTATGAAAACGCTAATTTTCGCACCCTGCAAGTTGCTTTTTTCGCTGGGCTTCATCGCTGTTCAGTGCACTACGTCGAAGCGCGAATGAGGTGGAAATTTAAAATTCCCATCTGTCCTTTTCTAAACAGATGTAGAGTAAAATTTTTTATGGAACCATGCGGCCCATTTATTCCTCTCATTTTTTCTCTGTTTTAGATAACGATTTTTATGAAGTTTTTAAGCCAATATAAAACTGTAACATCGAGAGTTTTGCAAGACAAAATGAAGTGAATCAAACCAACATAAAGCTGAAACACTTTGAAATATTTGTAAGACAAGGATAAACTGAGACAAGTCGAATCAAGATGGAGCTAAAACAATTTCAAATGTTTGTAAGATAAGGATAGACTAAAACAAATCAAGTCAAGATGAAGTTAAAATAATTCGAAATGCTTGTAAGATAAGGAGAAACTGAGACAAGTCAAGTCAAGATGAAGCTGAAATAGTTTGAGAATACGGAACGTTTCTCATTTATATATATATATATTTCATGTGTATATGTACAACTGATTTTATTTGTATTTAAATGTTTCATACATTTTCTCTCCAAGTGTGCAATTTACATAGAACTTATAAATTTTGATTCGGCCGCAGCCCGCTCATATGGTGAGCTTCCACTCTAGTGTGATATTAAAATTGAGTATTGGTCTTATGAAAATATAAATATTGTTATACAAGAAATGTTACATAGTTTACGAAAACTGTCCCAAATCACAATTTTGTGCGATTTAAGAAATGAATTATAACAATAATATAAATTTAAAAATGATGAATTTAATTTGTCTTTCTTTTTTCATTTTCTCTAGTTGTTTTGCAACACTACGAAATTCGATTGTTCGACGAGTTTGTTCTTAGAGGTAACATGGCTGTCCTTCGGTGTCCTGTCCCCAGCTTCGTGAGTGATTATGTCAGAGTTACTTCATGGGAAAGAATAGACGGGTTTCTAATAACCCCAGGAATTATAAGCGGTAAGTTAATTTAATATGTGCATACATTTTAAAATACAACGCAATAATTAAAATACATTCTATTTAAAGAATCCTTATGTATCCTATAAACATATCCGTATAGCACTTTTACAGATTCACAGAAGAAATATCATACCTTACTTATTCTTTCCCTTATATTTTTATTAATTTTATCGTCCGAAAATAGTGAGGAGAAATTCATGCGAACAATTTAATTTCTGAAAGACGCACGAATGAAGAGTAGAATCCATGAATAAACTACTACTACCAAAATATTATTTGTTCAAAAATAATTTACATTCCGATAAAAATACATAGTAATAAAAACTCTAATAAGATATTTACATTTCATACTTCCCTGTAGCTCGAACCTTGAACTTTTTTATTGATCTCGCTGCTACTCAGGCCTCAAATCATTCATAAATATTTAGGGAAAGGTGAATATACAGTAGTATTTGCGAAATCGTAAACTGAATATCAGTTCCTGTTTGCTTAAATAGGAAAATAATAAAAATAACAATTTAGGGAGCTCTTTCCCTGAAAGCATTGAGGAAAAGGAAAATTAAGCAAATATTTTTAAAATTTTCAAAACTAGTGCTAAAAGTCTAGGGACGAAAATGCCCGAGAAAATGCGACACATACCTAAATGTTCACTTCAGAAAGCTTCAATTATTATTAGTTAACATAGTTTATTTTTCTTTCTATGTGACCCAAGAATAGCCGAGTAGAGAAAACTGCCAATTTTGAAGCTTCACCCGGATGCTAATTCGGTAGAATAATTTTGGGGAAGGGGTTTTTGTATTTTTCACCATTTGTAATTCAAATACGAATTATTTCCCTTAAAATGTTCCTTCATAAAGGCATATTTCAGGCAAAATCTCGGTTTGGTTTATTTGATTTGATTATGGCAAAGCACTTGACGGCTACCTGCGTAAGGGAATGGATGCCTTCGTAGAGGGCATTTTAAGCAAAACTGGCTCGTATATACGTTACGCATGGATAAATGTTATAAACGCCCATGCAGCCAGCCTGTTCGCCGCGATACGAAGCCTGTAGCCGCGATACGAAGTACTATTAGTGTTCAGCGACTTTACCGTTCCCCCGCTGGTGTTCAGATCAGTTCTCTTTTAGGTAGACATCTTATGCATAATTACTTTTAATCAGTAAGCAAAAGGGCTGTCAATTTTGCATTTCAAATGCAAAATCTTTAATCACTGTGTTCCCTTGCAATTAATTTGAATGCGTTCTTAGGGTACAAACTTATCAAAAAGGTAAAACTAAATAGTTTTAAATGTAGGGTGTTGTAATTAAACTCCAAGCAACAAATAAACTAAACACTCTTTTATGCCCGTTTTTCTAGTAATAAAAAATATTGTACATGATATCAATAAATACCTGAAATGCAAGCTTCGAAATATTGCAGCAAAGGAGTAATAAAATCATGCAAAAAATTTAAAATGTTTTAAATATTTTACCTGTGTATTCATTTTAAGGTCTAATGCAGAAGTTTAAAAATTATGCTTTCTTAATGATATAGTTAAGCTATGAAATAATGGTTAAAAACTGAATATCAAGTTTTTCATAAGTGTCATTTTAATAACCTATATAACTATATAAGGATTTTTCTTAATCCTAAATTCAATTGTTGATGCAAGATTAATTCTTTAGTTTAGGTCACCAGAATGACAAGTTACATATTTTTTTTATTTTGTTTAACCTTTAAGTTCTAATGCCAGAAGTACCAAACTTATATGTCCTTAATAATTTAGGTAAACAATTAAATAAAAGAAAGTTGAATATGTTTTCATTCCGTTTCAATAACCTATATAAATGAACTTTTTTTAAACATAAATTAATTTGTTAACGTAGGATTAATTCAGCACTTTAAGACACCAGATTGATAAATTTTATCATTTTCCTAATTTAGTTCTTTTAAAATTTAATTTATAATGCCGCGATACGGAATTATATTTTCTTTATAATTTATTTAAGGAATTAAACAAAGGCAACATTTGAATTATTTTTCGTATGATTTCAACAACTCATATAATAACTTCTCTTAAATCTAAATTCATTTGTTAGTGTAGAATTAATTCAGTGCTTTGAACATGTTCATCAATGCTACTAGAATTTCAGATTATAATTAGCAGTAAAGTACTTAAATTCGCCAATAGCGTCGCCTGATCTATACAAACTAGGGCCACTCGAGGTTATATTAGCATCTGAACATCTGTAGCGCGAGGAACAAAGGAATTATTAACGAATAGGGCTATAATTACCACTGGGCCAAGCGGAACAATGCCCCAAGACCAGTGTGAGGAAGAACAATATATCATATTTTGGAGACTTTATTTTAAAAGTTTCAAACGTTAAACTTCGTTAAAGATATTTATATTTTCATCTTTCAAACAGAGTTGTTTTATAGTAAATCACGGCTCAATTTCATCGAGTTTTCCTGACGTATGAATAAATTTTTCTGACTTATGCACAGAAGGCATCATCTGTTTAATGATGTGTAACGTGCGTTCCTGCGACTATAGGTAAATTCAGATTTTAAATCACGTCCCCAAAGGAAAGTTTTTTCAACATTTTGTGTGTTACCTTTATTAATTAAGCATCATGTTCTTCGCACTTAAACCATAAAATTCAATTCAAGAGCAATGTTGCAAAATAATTTTAAACTGAGCATATCTTTAGAATTTCCGGTACACAGTCTCACACGCTGGAGATAAAAACGTTTTTTGTGTACAACGTTGCCAATCCTCGCTTTGAAATAGTTGAGTGTGTTAATCAAAAATTTGTTAAAGTTTTGCAAAATATGAAATTGATAATAAAAAAAATTCCAAATTTCAAATCTGGGCTTCCATATACCTATATTCGCAGTAGGATTACTTCATTCAAAATTGGATGGCTCTAGGTACCATTGTTTCATCGCAACGCGAGAGACATACATACATTTATGCAGACTCTTCATTATTTAAATTCTTCAAATATAATACAAAGCGATAATGTTCTGTGGCAACAGTTTGAAAAATGAAACAGACATTCAGAGTTATTCGACGCAAAATCGCAAAACGAAAACAATAGTCTCTCAGAGACAACGTCCTTTTGGACTAATCATTTGCGAAGTAGTATGGGATGGGAAAAATCACCAGTTTAAATTTGCTCTCATTTGAGAATAATGGAGCTCAAACTTTGGTAAAAGAACTAATGAGTTTGGTTTCTAACAGTTAGAAAATAGAGATTTTTTTTTAAAATTCATATGTAAAAATAAAGTATACTGAATAAATTTAAAAAATGCATTTTTCCTTACTTATATTGCATATGTTTCATATAACACTCTGTATGACGTCATGTAGCTTCCTGATATATATTCGTTTTGACTTAGTAGAATACAGTAGGCATAACAAAATTATGTTTATATCAAAGAGACAAGCATACATCGAAGAGCTTCATCAAAGAGATATTTACTGAAAGCATTTTCAATTCCATTAAAGTGTTTAAAGCTACTTTGATTATTAATAAAATAGTCAACCATAAGTAGAAAAAAGTGATTAAGGATGGGCAAAAAAATAAAAAGGAAGTCCCATTATCATCTGCGGCTCTGGGGAACCAAGTCTCTAGCTACGGCTCTGTTAACGAATTTAGTTATGCTTTTGAAGAAATGTAATGCAGATAAATCAAAATAAAATCTTGTCCATTTGCTTTGACGATAAATAAAATTGAAGATAAATATAGGACACAGACTTTAAGATATAATAACATAAACATAGGAATATCACAGATCAGCCATTTCATTTGAAAAATACTATAACTCTCACTTTATCTAAAGACGGGATATCCTGCTTCACTCTTCACTAGATGGAGAATTTACGGATGTACTTCAAATGCTTCCGGCGGAAAGGATGAAGACACCAGTCCTTAATGATAGCTTTTGGACTTCAGAAAGGAAAATGTTTGAACAGGATAAGGACAAAAAAACAAGAAAAGATCAAGTATCATAAAAGATTCAAATGAAAAAGGAATTAAACGTATACCATGAAAGTAAAATATAAAAAAGAAAAAAAAATCTAATAAATATATCCATTTTATTTCACGTCCGTATTTGAATAAAAGATGATTAAAAAACGTTTTTGTAGACTAAGCTTTTATTTAAAATGGATATGATAAGTAATGCGCTAAAAGGAGAAAAATACTTTCCCTCTCAGCTTTAAGTACGTAAAATTCCGTATAGATGGGTGACTTTCATATTCATTACACGTAAGAATTTCTGCCAGCTTTAAATGCGTTTGATTTCGGATTGGATGCATATTGAAAGAAAATGAATCAAAGTACAAAGTGAGAGAGTCGTTTTAAAATTATAATCAAGAAAATATCATTTATTCATGACATTTTGAGGAACTTTGAAATTTCAAGGCTAAACTCGTAACGCTTGGAGGGAATATATTAAATAACTCTATTTACAGAATTAATCTACAGTTTTATGTCACGAATAATAAAAGCGTGAGGTGTCTAACTAACGAAATCTATTAACTTAATTGTATTGTCAAATGTAAAAGCTATTGCTTTTTTATTTTTTGATTAATTTAATTGCGTTTTTAAATATATAAGCTACTATCCATTTTAATTTATCATGATTCCGTACGCTTTTGCAATTCTCGATAAAAAATTGCAGATGAATTCAATAAACAGAAGTAGTTAATCCATTATTCCCATTAAAATATATGATAAATTATCTTTCTCCTTTTAGAGCATTAATTATCATATCCGTTTTAAATGAAAGCATATTGTACACTATGAATAAGGAGTTGCCAGAAAAGGCTGAAACTCGTCAAACAGAGAGAAACTGCAACGAACAATAAGCAATCTTTATTTCGAAATGATATACATAATACAGAACGAGAACAACGTCAGCTCAGTAGGTTGTAGGACCAACTTGGACGGCGATAGACGAGCAACGCGTTTAAGTACAGTGTTATGAGATTGGTATCCTGAGGAAT